AAGCCAGCTTTCGATTTGCAGCACTTGCCACATTCCTCACACGTGAACCCAACGAGTCTCTCCTGTGTACTGGTTGGAACTGGTGCGGAGGCGCCAGATGATTCGTAGTATACATTGTCGAAAGTAACCAGCACATTGAAACCAAACGGGGTGGTTGGCCCTGTCTGGAGTTGCTGAACTCTTAGCTCACCCAGACGTCCAGGCTACCCGGTCGGCACCACGAGGAGGTGGTTCAGCTCGCCAACAGATTGTCACCGTACTCACTCTCCAGTAACTTCGTTCGGCTTGAAGGTGGTTTCCTCTGAGCATAATAAAAAAGTCACAACAGATACATCATGAGTTGCTATGTTTGTAGGACAAATCTCCAGTTCGAATATAGTAAGGAGTATATATTACCACTGTGATTTTCTGGTACATCTATCCAACCCATTTTGAACCAAATCTCGTAAGCAAAGAATTTCACAAGGAAGCAGAGAACACATTCAGGCATGAGAAGCGAGATTCGACCATTTTATCCTCTACCAATGGTGAAAGGGTTGCGAATGTGCATTTTGCGAAGGTTTGGTTGTGGACCTGTGGTCAGGGTGTATAATCTGAAAGTGCATGGAATGTTTTCGATCCCGTTAAAAAAACACAAATTTTTAGTACCCGAAATGATTTTTAAGTGAAAGTTGACGTTGAGTAAGGTACGCGCCTAGTGTTAGCTTTCGTTGAGCGTTTTTTCAACCCTAATAACAACGGAATCTCCCGGATGATTATGAAATGATCCACAAATGCTGAGTAGTTAAGGAGTAATTCTCACTCAGAGAAATTTTCACTTGCTGGTCTATTCTATATGCGTGCTTGTTACTCCTATTCGATGGAAGTGAAAATGAGCTATGGGACGCCGCGGATGTCTGACCACACAATCCTTTAATCGTCACTGTGCACACCAAGTGTAATTTGTAGGAGGCAAAAACTAATCGCAATACTTTTGGTAGGCAGTTATGGTCGGCTCATTTTCTAGACTAAAACTTTCTGTCGACATCAAAGTTGATTTTAGGGAATACTGAATCGTCGCACCTGATGACCAAATTTATCTGCGAATACCTGTTATTTCTCGGGTGCGAGGTAGCATGAGTAAATTTTACAATGCAAACAACTACTAATCCGGATGTCTTAAGTTGGACCACGTGCCATATACAGCGAAAAGCCGTGTAGCCCTGAGACTGAAGCTACGAGACAGTATAGTGCGGATTATGCTCTGAAGGACAGAGTATATGTGCTTCCAGCCCAAAACGGACAGCCAGCTTTTATGCGGATGAAATTCGGAATGACGGATTCTGATGAGTCGCCAGTTAAAATCACTTTCATTTGCAAATGAGTTTGCAGCCTCATGTGCGTTCAACTTGAGATTTAACGAGCCAAAACTGATTTATATGACAATATGAAAGGATCCTGGAGCGAAACGTAATCAGCTGGTAAATCAATTCATTTTCGTTGTTTGGAATTCTGACATAGACACACTGAAATGGTTGATTTCGTTTCCCTGCGTTACGAGAACAATTATGCTTGATGTTTCCAGATCCAGGTGAGAGAAGTAAGCTTGTTTTGACGGGTTCCTTCTGAAATAAACTACCAATAGGAGTTACTGATTCGAGATCGGATAAAATAATAAAGAATTCGTGGTAATGTGATTAGCCTATCTTTCCATCTGGCCGATGGAGCTGTATCGGAAAGGCAGCAGAATGTTTCGCTAGTAACTTGTGCATGATGGACCGCACCGTAAATTGAGCAGCATATCGCACGAGTCAGGACCATGCTTAAGAAGCATTTCTAATGCTATCAATGTCTCAAAACACTTGGCATTTGGTGAGAGTGGCATGGTCAATACCATTCACCGGAACTCGAAGTATGTAAAAGACAATACAGGGAATTCCACCACATAGCATTTTGTAGACTATAGCGTTCAGTGACAAATCACACAAAGCGATCGATAATGAATTTTGCTGTTCAGTGATAATTCTTGGGTATTCATTTTCCCGGTTTTCAGTAGCAAGTGTTTCCATCAATAAAAAGTAAGTAAATGAACAAAGAAATAAATAAACAGAAAAAACTGAAACCGAATAGTCTTTTCAACGGTTTCAAAAAGAAGAATGAGTGTTGACGGTTTTATTTTGAAAATGGAATTTTTGGACAGAAAAAGTCTGATAAGCGAATGGTCTTGATCAATTTGGTGGTAAGGGTGTGTGGGGCTGGACAAATTGAAAACAACAGTTACAAGCAATTTGAAAATGTTCGGCACCGATTGGGTAGTCATCGTTTCAGAAAGGTTTGGTAAACAATAAATCCACCGATTGTTTACCAAACCTTTCTGAAACACTCACAAGTTTTTGACCGTGAGTGATCCTATTCACGCTCCGTCGATTGTTCATTAAATGACTGAAAATTTTGCGTGAAAAATTCCATTAAATTCCAAGTTCACTCTTGGTACTTATGAATTAATATGTTACTAAGCGCAAGCATACTAATCTCAAAGCTCAAAATAAACATGCTCACATATTCAGCTCTGTTCAGTATGCGCTATAAGAGATTCTGCAACACACTGCGTCACGCATCGGATGATCGGAGTCTAAATCCCCGCATAACATATACATTATTGATAATATCAAATAATTGCGAAGATGAAACTTTCAGTGTGTAATGGAGAAGGGGTCACACCTGGACAAGTGTGTTCAAACAAGTTATATTGATAGAATTAATCGGATTACGCACAAGGATGAAAGTTCAGCTAGACAAATGAGCTGACTAACCAGGAGTGTGAATTTTCTGAGTGGATAGCTAAGTGGAAACGGATGAACTTCTCTCAAGAGAGTTTTCAAAGAATAAGTTATGCCACAGCGTTAGAGACTAAAACTCCTGGATTGTCGTCATCAGTCCATTTCATCTGGTGGTTTGGAATACCCCTCTCTCACAGTCTTTCTCATCACCAGTCTACTCACGAGAAACCCGCGTCTGTTAACTGTTTAGAATGCATTAACCCATATACAATTCGCTTGTCGAGAGAACTGTTACCATATTTAAGCTCTAAACATCAACTTTTTAATATATTTTGAAAGGTCGTTTGTAACACAGTAGACCCTCGTTATAACGGTTCACTTTCCCCGATGTTTGCACAGTTTTCTTTAGGGCGTATGTATATAGTGTTCTCGGTCAACAGGGTCAGCGTATGGGACCTGGTCAGTGGTCTCCACTTAAGGATCATTAGGGGATCATAAATCCCCACTTTCGTGCGATGACCGAATGAACCTCAAGTTAACGATACTTAAAATGGGATATCTTGATGGAGCGTATAATAATATATACTGCAATATGTACTATGTGGTATTCAACTGGCTGGATCGCGTTCTGTATATGATTCTCACATGATGAGCAATTAACATAGGCCGCAACTGGGGACCTTTATGGTCACTCGATTCACAGAATCCCATTATGGGAAATAGTTACACTACAAACTGAAATCGCGCTTATCTACTTTCCATGGCCCGTTTCAAATTCCTTTCATCCATTTGTTTGTCTGATCCAATTAATCATGCAAAGAGCACTATCTACTGTGAATCATATTTGTTGGTGAGCTAGTGTTGGCATTTAAGTCACATGTACCACACCACCGTTAGCTTCCCATAGATGGGTATACTGCCACTGGTGTTGGCTACCTTCCACCTACTCAGCCCAAATATGGCGGTGAACTGCTCAGTAAGTGCCTGTCTAGCCTGGCTCAGTCTATACGGGAGAAAGAGTACATGAAAGACATTTGGGTTCAGTTGGTAATGGGCACTGGAGGTGAATGTAGCAACCATAGAGAAGTCAGTTTGACTCAAATTGTAACAAGGCTTCTGACGTCAATAATTCTTCATCGGCTTAAGCCAACACGAGAAACCTTGAGCAACATGTGGCTGTATCGACATCTTCGCAACGCATCAGATGTTACAACAACGATATAAGTACAGACGACCAAAAATCTTGGCGTTCCCTGGTATCAAAGGTGGGTTCCACTGTAGATCGGACAGCTCATAACTAAGCTCCCTAAAAACGAAATGTCCCAGATCGCCAAAATAATACGGTCTTTACATGCACAAAGTTCCTGATGCATGAGTGTGTATTGAGCTATCCTTACAAAAGTGATGTCCAGCGAGGATATCCTTTCCCTTCATTTCCCTTCAAATACAGCATCAATAAACAGATGAGACGAACGCTGGAAGGCCTTCAAGACTCCGATGTTGAAATGGTTACCGGAGAGAACCTTGCTGATTTGGAGTATGGAAACTTCGTCCCAGTAGTTCAAGATGAATGCCATGCATTAACGCTGTTAAAAAGCTGACTACCATCATACCAACTTTCATCATACGCCTGACACCTGCAGAGGGCGAAGTTATCGTTCATAACATTCAATATCTAGACGTTTCCTTTCCAACTCAAAGCGAGGTATTGGAGACTGCAGGGGACTTTACAAACCTCGGAAGTTGTATCAGCTCCAATGAAAGTGCATCTGATGAAGTCAGTGCACAAATCTCAAAAGCCTGATTCACGTTTGCAAATTCGCGTCATTTGTGGGGTCGAAAAGCACATCGCTGTGTCCAGAAGGTCGTGTGCATCCGACTATAGTGGTCACAAGACTACGAAATATGATCTCCGAGTACAGATGATGTAAGACGCCTTCATGTTTTTAACCAACAATGTCTCATAAGCGTTGCTGGTGACGGATGGTTTCAACGGATAACGAATCAATCAAAAAGCAGGCATCCGGTTGCGCGACGGGTTGTTCAGCAGCAATATCAGCTGCGACGGTTCGGTCATGTGCTGCGCAGGCCAGAACTCATTTCTCAAGGCGTTATCGTCTAAGGCCTCAGTTGTCGATCTGGATTACTAGCCACACGACCGATCGGGTATTTGAGCATTAAATGAAAAAACAGGCTAATTTCAGCGAACCTCACGCTCCATGTCAGGTCTCAAGATTTGTGTTACCCACAAGTTACTACCCCACCACTTTTTCGAAAAGACCAGAGGCAAAGCTTATTGGGCGGTGTCAGAAATGAGCACCAGAAGTAACCAGAAGAACTAAGCTGGGT